ACGCCCGAGCCCATCCCTATCAGTGACAGTACTGCGGAGTATGTACCTCATACGTTATATAGCCACACACTTTAAATCCAATTCTTCTAGTTCCAGCTGCAGAGCCCGGTCCTGTCTTTGCCTATAGCAGTGGTTCTCAGCCTATGGGTCGCTGTGCAAGGTGAGAGTCCTCCTCAGCTCTCTCCTAGTGCAGCAGTGTCAGTTCTCCCGCCACGCCTCCAGATGTCGCTGCAGCAGCCGCGTCATCCCTAAATTTTACCTTTGGAGGTCACCACAACTTGGCAAATGTTACCAAGGGGTCCCGGCCCTAGAAAGGTTGAGAACCACTGATGTAAGCATATGTAAAACTTTGATCAAAATTGCACATTTCTTTCTCTAGAGATATTTTTCACACTTTACTGAAGAAGTTGTTCTTAACTGAAAAATGCACCGAACCTGAGCCTCACCCCCTTCAGATGACTCAGCAAGTTAACACTACAAAGAAACTATAGGGTCACAATTCATAAACAGCTTGCTGATGGAAAGCATTAGAGTTGTGTGGGGAAATAGCTTGTTCTCTACATAGAAATATGAGCAAAGTACCCAACTTTTATGGATATGTTTTTATGATTTTTTTTTGTGTACAATACAAGTTAAATCCATTAAGAACCATTGCCCCCTTTCTTTGATTCCAGAATTGTTTCAGGGACTTCCTTCTGCCACCATATGTACCAAGCTTGACCTCCGGGGGCATATAATCATGTCAGAATTCAGCATGGCAATGAATGTAAGACGGCCTATCGTACACGGCTTTACCAATTCCAGTACCAGGTTATGCCCTTCGGCCTCTGCAACAAACTTGACACATTCCAGGATTTTTATTTTCCAGGCACATCCTGAAAAGAGGATCCAGATGGGCATCTGGAGGCTGTCCCTTGGGAGGGGGCAATGTTTTGAAGTTGAAGCCACCCCTTTGGCAAGGATTCTGCATGAGCATTCGCACATGTGCATGTATAGACAGCACGTACTTTGGTGTGCGTATGTGCTCACCCCAAATCATGGCTAAAGGGCTATTTAGGGACAAGACCTGCAGACCTCAAATGTGGAGAGATCTTCAGCTGTTCCTGTGACGTGAGATTCTTTCATCATAATTCTGATCCTCTGTTACCGTCTTGGCTTGGTTTAAGACTTTTCTGATTTCTGCGTTGTACCCTGTGTGACCTTTGCTTGTTCCCAGACTACACTTCTGCTTGCTCTTAATACCTGGCAGCCCGCACATTACCAACCTGGCCTGCCCCTGACACTGTCTGCTGCATCTTCTTCTGCCTGACTGATGCCAACATCTCATTCCAGAACTTTGCTCATTGGTGACCGCCCTGGCATTCTTTGGGTCACTTCCAGTTTCAGGCGTATGTATGCACCAGTTCTGGAGACTTCCGTGGCAACATCACCTACCAGCGCTTGTGCCACTCTGTTGTCCTTGCACACTGTTTTGCTCTCCAGGGGTACTTAGACTGGAGCAGCAAGAGAGGCTGCGAACACCATCTCAGGCTCCAATCAGGGAATAAAACAAGAGGATTTCCTGGAACGGGAGGGGATATATGAGGGTCCTCACAGCTCTGACCAGTGTCCACCTAATGAAACCTGTGTATTACCAGTCATGTCTGAATCTGCCTGTGACCTGTACGACCAAGAATAAACCTTTTCTTCTTTATGAATCCATTAAAGTAACACCTTAAAAAGTCCCATTGTCCAGTACTTTGATTGTTTTGTTGCAGGAGTCAGGGTGTGGTGCAATTAAGATATAATGGGTGGTCCCATTATATCAATTCCTATGAGGATTGGCAGAACTGGTAGACAGCATGATAGGAAAGCTATTTAGTAAAGGATGCAGAGTTTGTTGTATTCCTGATTTAGATATTCATATCAGTCCTATTTCATTATTCATATATCAGTCCTGCTTACACTAGAGCGTTTTAGATCTGTTGCTGGCCTTGGAGCACCTGAGGCACATTGTGCATTTTAAACTCCCTGGCGGTCTGATTATTTCATTTTTTTGTTCTATTATTTTTCACTTTTAAAATTCCCGCCGGTTCCGCCCCCTTGCGACACGGACGCTCGCAAGGGACGGAACCCGGAAGACAGATGCCGGCATCGGCCGGAGGACACAGTGCGGCTCGAGGGACAAGGTAAGTAACGCTACGCTGTAATCCCGAATGTGGCTCGGGGTTACTGCTTATGGTACTGAAAAAACACCGAGCCACACTCGGGATTACCGCCAAGGAGGTTAAATGTGTCACAATTGAAATTCTGTGCAACACACAAATTAATGGAAACTGCAGCAATCAGGATTTTTTTCCAATGCATCACAACACATCTAAAATATGCCAATATGAACAGAGCATCATTTTTCAATATGTGATAAGGCACATGAAATCTAGGGGTTTTCTTTACTTAACTAGTGTCTTAACAGCCAGTTAGCCTGTTCCTTGAACAGTGTTTCTCCTGGTGTATAATACTGCAAGTGGTAAACAGATTTGGCCATAAACAGGGCTACAACAGCCAGCTTTAGCATTCACTCAATTGGAGATGTGGACTGAGAAGATTGCCCACTAGCAAAAGGGTAAGAGTGGAGACTGCCATATATCGTCTGAATCTAAATGTGTGACTTCATAACATTTACTACAGCGCCAATAATTTACTCAGCGCTTAACATACTGCACATTCCCATCACTCCCTGTCTCGGGGAGCCTACAATCTAAGGTGCCTAGTGCACACATATACAGGGTCAATTTAGAAAGGAGCCAAATAACCTTCCAGTATGTATGTTGTCCTTGGAGTGTGCGAAGAAACGAGTACCCAGAGGAAACCCATGCAAGCACAGGGATAATGTGCAAACTCCTTGCAGATAGTGTCCTGACCTAGATTCAAAGCTGAACTACCACTTATTATACGGGGAAGTACAGGTTTTATTTTTAAAAATTGTGCTTTAACATTTACTTTTTTGATTAAGTCATATGATAGGAGGTACATGTACACCATAAGATCCAGGTGTTTAACATGAGTGTTTAGAGACAGTTTCTTTAATACATCTGCATATAGATAAGCATGCCAAAACCAATATAATATGGGTACTTTATTTCTGAGAAATAAAAAAGTATATAACATTAGATTTTGTTTTTAAAGCATAAGCCAACAAAAGGCTTTAAAAGGTAGGACAAAATAAGAGATGTTTATACCTAGGCACAGGTTTGTCTTGCTCCAATATACATTGCTCCAAAAGGTCAATGAACCTCTGTGGAAATGCAGAAAATTCCACTAATAATCCTTGCTGGTTTTTTAAACTAAGAGAGAGAAAAAAATATATATGTGTGATCAAAAACACATGTACAATAATGATAAAGAAATAAGCCATGAAAAAAACATAATGCAATCATTGATAGAATAGACACAAATCTATAGGTTGCTAAAAAAAAAAAGACTGGCTAGCACAAACTGAAAAAAAAGTAATAGTATAGACTGGAGATTTTCTACAAAATGAAGGAAGTAGAAATTGGAACATCTTCTCTCGGCATCTTGCCTTCAGACATTTTATGAAGATTGGTTAGAAAATGATACTTCTGGAAGGGGTTAATTAGATGCTCATCTTAGTAATACACATTTACTACACAGTTTATTCACAACACATTCTAAAATTATCATATAGAAATGTGTAAGAAGAAAACAAATAAATTGGATAGGCGGAATTATTCAGGCACAATGGGTTATGCTGCTGCGTTCAGAAGATTGGACACTGACAAACAATGATGACAATGAAAGGCTAGTATAATACCTCCCACTTCCATCATGCCTCAGTTTTGTAGCAATAGTAGGCGTGAATCCTAAAAAAAAAAAAAGAGGGAAAAAACCTGTGTCCCTTAATGTACTCCAAATAAAAGGATTTTATTGTATGTCAAAAAGCCTATTTTCTGAATTTAACATTAAGGGACACAGGAGGAATTATTCAGGTACATAGAAACATCCAAATACAGGTCAACTGAGGGGGAACAATAGGGCTAACAGGCCCACAGAAACCAACAGGTTAAGAAAAGGTGGCTCAACAGATGCATGATGCTAAGAAACCCAAAAAGCATACACGAATCTGGTAGAATGCATTTTTAACCACATGCTGACCGGCGTTAAACCCCCTTCCTGTCCAGGCCAATTATTAATATTCAGCGCTGCGATACTTTGCATGACATTTATTCCGTCATACAACGTTGTACTGAAATGGATTTGATACAATTTTTGGGGACAGATAGAGCTTTCTTTTGGTGGCATTTAATCACCACTGGGGTTATTATTTTTTACTATATTAAGGAAAAATTACCATAAATTTTGAAAAAAGAAACTGTTTTCCCTATATTAAAACTATGAAACATTTAATGCTGCCCAAATGTTTGGTAAAATATAAAACACGGTAAATAGACCTCAAACATGCCAAGCCTTAAAATTGTGCACGCCCGCAAAACCTCAAAAAAAACGGCAATACCCGAAATGGGCCACAGGCGACGCTTTACAAGCTTTTACTGCTCATCAATTTAGTGTTATCACTGATTGATGGCCCTAAAATTATTGCTTTCACTCTGACGTTCGCGGCGATATGTAACATGTGCAGCGCAATTGTCGTTTTCGCGGGTTGGCGCACCCAACGCGTATTTACGTTTATATATGCGTTTACGTGGGGGTGGGGGACTTAAACTTTTTTTTTTTACATTTCTTTATATGTGACAATTTTTTTTTACACTTTATGTTATTGCTCTCGCATAGGGGGATCGTTATCCCCTATGTGAGAGCAATAACAAAGTGTAAAAAAAAAAAATTGTTGCTATCACATAGGGGGATAACGATCCCCCTATGTGATAGCACAGGCACACTGACAGGTCCTCTTTATGGAGCCATTAGGGGGTCTCTAAGACCCCTAATGTCATCTGGGGACCCCCAAAGAAGCTGATGAAGCAGAGATTTATCAGCTTCTTCTCTGGCTATAGCAATACACATCACTTCTGCATTCAGACGTCGGAGGGAGTTCAGCAAGGAGGAAGATGCTGATCTCCCTCCCATCACCCTCCCGAGCCGGTCCCGGGCCGCAGATGGGGCAGCGGAGCCCGGGATTGAAGGTGAGGGTGCAGGAGGGGGGTGGCGCACATGGCGGCATATACAAGCGATTGGACGGCTATAGAGCCACCGATCGCTTGCATGTGTAACAGCCGGTAACGGCTATACAGATTCCTGGCAGGATTCTCCTCCCTAGCGCGCGCCCGCTAGGTGGCACGCATGCAGAGAAAAAATGGCGTACATTTACACTTCCCTGCCGGGAAGGGTTCCCCGTCCACCCATAATTTTACAATGGGCAGACGGGCAAGGGGTTAAGCAGGCAAAAGGTGAACCTTTCCCTTGAGGTCATAAGCTAAAACTAAGAGCTGTCAAATGCACCTGGCGTTAGTGGAATGAGAAGCAGGCTGCCCCCTACGGGGACACTGAGGAACCACAGAATCAGACTGTCTAGTACAGGGGTCAGCAACCTGCGGCTCCGGAGCCGCATGTGGCTCTTTCATCCCTCTGCTGTGGCTCCCTGTCCAGGGGCGAAACAGCCCCTGGTGGAATATGTGGCAGTGCAGGGTCTCAGGGCCCCGCACTGCCGATGGGCTTCTCAGTAAGTGGGCGGGTCTTGTGACTCAGCTACTCTCCTGGCCGCGTCCCTAGTAAAAGACGGGAGAGGAGAAGTGTGTGTAGCATAAAGGTAAAAAATGATACATGCAGTGTTATCTTCATTTTAGATGTCAAAAGGTTTTGTGGCTGCCGGTGTTTTCTTTTCTGTGGGAAACGGGTAAAAATGGCTCTTTGAGCGTTTAAGGTTGCTGACCCCTGGTCTAGTAGGTGAGAAAGCAATTCTTAACAGGGCATACCACATGCAGACAATGGAGGGCAATCTCCTTAGAATGTTTTGGAGCAGGACAGATAGATGGTCAACAATGTCCAGGTTAAAGTGGAAGAAAGAATCCACCTTTAGAAGAAAAAAGACCCTGGTCCTCAAAACAATCTTGTCCTCGTGTTGCACAAGAACAGGCTCTTTAAAGGTTAAGGCTTCCAACTCAGAAACTTGCCATTGCAGAAGTATAATTGACACAAAGCAACTTTGCGAGTAAGGGAAGAAAGTGGAATATCCCTCATAGGTAAAAGTTAGGCAGTTTCTGAAGAACCGACAGAACCAGGTTGAGAGCCAATGGAGTCACTGGAGAATGCACAGGAAGCACAATGTGAGCAACGCCCTAAATGAAGGCCTTCACTAAGGAGTGAGAGGCAAGTGGTCTCCAAAAAACTGCACTGGCCAAAATTTGACTCTTGATGGTGTTCAAAACCAAAAATTGATCCAGATAAGACTAGAGAAAAGACAGCATTTGTCCGACACAGAACTTCCTGGGATGGAATGTCCTTGTTCTGTACCAAGAGACTTTGCTATACTCGATTTCCCAGCTTTCAAGAGCATAAGGATGTAACAAGGATGTTGATAGAAGACAACCATTGGTAAAAATTATATTTTCCTCAGGAGAGGTGAGAAGAGCAGAGCGGAGGAAAAAAAAAAAAAGTGTCCAGCCTCCAAGGACACTAGAAAAAAAAATGAGTCAGGATGGTTAGGGGCTGGGTTATTACAGGCGCCAGCCTTCAGTTTCTTTTTCTGTTTGCTTGTGTCGACCTCTTGTAGGCAGCTACTATGCATACAACCCATGAGTCTCAACAAGTTTATCTACAACTGAATTTTCTGTGACTGACAGACATTAAAACATTTTCTTGCATATTGGGGCTCTATTAAGTCTTACAGGCTACTTTGTTTTCTGTAAAATTTATTGGAAGAGCATTATTGCATTTTTACTTCCCCATCCATGATTGTTTAAGTCAGTATGGGTCTCTCATTTTAACAGAAAACAAAATGTAACTTATCAGTTATTATAGAAGACCTAGGGGAGAGGGAAAAGAAGTGCAAACAAGTATCAAATGCTTACTGTTTAAAAATAGAATCCTGTGTAGATGAGAGCAAAGCAAATATTAGAATCATTAGGGCAATATTTTAACATTTGCATTATATACTGGGAAAATGTTATTGTAGGTTATAAAAGTACATTAGAACAACAATCAATCTGAACTTAAAAGAGAACTATGGGGTCAGTTCTTTTCCCCATAGTTCTCCTAAGGGTCACGTGACCCAAAGCTCCATATACCACGAGCTGCGAGACCGCCGCAGCCGGGACGGATCCCCGACATTACTGTCGACATCCACCCAGCTGCGTGATTGACAGCTGACTCTGCCTATTTAGAGGCAGAGCCAGCTGTACCCGCCCCCTCCCCCGTAAGTTCCGCCAGTCAGGGATGGAGGATCAGAGCGGGGAGGGGGGAATCCCTGCAGGGAGCCGTGAGTGAGTCACAGCTCTCTGCAGGGACATGATCGAGAAGTGAGTGAGCAACGGTATATGTTCGCTCACTTCCCGATCTATTAGGCCGACGTGTGACAGTTTCATTGTCACACGTCGGCTCGAACTATGAGGTTGAGTGAAAATCATTCAACTCATAGTTCTCCTTTAAAAGAGAACTATGATGCAAGTGTTTTTCCGCATAGTTCTCTTTAGGGTCACGGGAAGACATATACTAGCCTCCTCCTGTGACCCAAAGCTATTGCCTGCGATATATTGTTTGAATCTTTTCAGAAACTAAGCTATCAAAATTATACATGTTGTTAGTTTTAGTTTAGAAGTAAATTAACTCAGGTCCCCTCGCATTTCTAACTCTCAGAAATTCTGTTTATTATATGAGGGGGATTTTGTACTAAATACCTTTTCAGAAAGATGGAATGTTTTATTTTTAAATGACATACTTAATCCAGTAATGATGTTATAGTATTTATGGTATTTTCATTTTAATATAAAATATTTTTGAAATTGTTTTTTTACAGAACACAATCATATAATTTACCTTAAAAAGTCCTCTTCTCCTAAAGTAAGATTGTATAGAAAAAATGGATCGGTATCATCTGACAGGCGAACAATTAAATCCTAAAAGCAGAACAAAGATAACATGCTTTTCTATACTCAAATCACTCATTTTCACAGGGATATAACATACATAAGATATAAATGTCTATTAATATTTATACACAGTAAAATGTTGATCCAGGATTGCCTTTTAAGATTGAGGTTTTATTTCACTGGACTATGTTAAGGTAATAGAAATGTGTTTATTTTTGTCTTTTGGTAAAATCAATTGTAAGATCTTTTAAAACTTGTCTTACAATGCAACCTTTAAAGTAGGGATGTGCCGATACTAGTATCGGTGCCGATACCAAGTACTTGGCGAGTACTCGTACTCGCCCAAATGCTCAGATAATTACCCCCGATACCTGAACTTCCAGTCAGAGGGAGATTTCCTCTGAGCGGCAGTGCCATGAGGGAACATGGAGCCGGCTTCCCAGCCAATCAGCATTGAGCCAGCCAAATGACAGGCCACCCGGCTTCCTGATTGCCAAGGAAGACAGCTCCATGCTAGGGAAGTATCGGTACCGGCGATTACGAAAGATAAATATCGGTACTCAGTTGATACTGAAAAACCGGTATCTGTGCATCCCTACTTTAAAGTTGGACCCACACAATAATGAAACACAACACACAGCTGGACAATTCCCTTCATTATGTAGAAAGAAAATCCTTTCTGGTGACCGGGCCATTGGGTGCGGTTACAAATGGGCGGGCAGGCAGGCGCAGAAATGCCAGGACTTGTGTAAGGCTGCTTGGGATACAGGCTTTGACAGTTCCCATTAACACCACTGTCATTTGGAAACACAGAAGGCAGTAGAGGAAGTCTTCACTACCGACTTCCTCTGTCACACTCTGCATTAGAGCTGCAGCTAACGATTATTTTCAAAATCGATTAGTTAGCCGATTATTAAGTTCGATTAATCGGTTAATCGGATAAACAATAAAATACATTTTAAAAAACAACTTGTCAACAAGTTGACAACTTTTTCAATAATCGATTATAATCGATTATGTTGATTAGTTGTTGCAGCCCTACTCTGCATTAGAAGTCAGCTGTCAGAGCTGCAGAGGAAGTAGTGGAAGACTTACTCCGCCAGCTTCAAAATTTTCAAATGACAGTGGCAATCGGGTGAATTGGCAAATCCTGTGTTGATGAAGGTCTGGTAACAATCCTTGTTGCTTGCATCTTCTGTCTTCGTTTCTATGCTGACTGCATTGTCCTGTCTTGTGTGACTGAAGCAGTGCATACCTCTATAGTTTTCTAGACTGCCTTTTTACACTTTCCTCTTGTCTTTATCATTTTCACTGCAGCTTGACAAACTCTTAAAGGTTCTGTCTGTTGTTGATGGCTTCTATCTTCTTTCCATTCTTCTATTTCCTTATATTACATGTCCACCTAGTCTTATGTAATACTTGGTACTTTCTACACTCTGGCATCTTCACCTGTTAAAAGTTTAGGAACGGATCTGCCTAGCATTAAGTATTGGGTTAACTCAAGTTCTACTAAAAGCTGATAGTTCATCTGAAGTGGGCTACTATAGGGCAGATTAGCTTGTCCAGATTGTATACCCCTTTCCGTCAATCATGGCTGAACGCCAAGGGGGCCTGGTAAAATTTTTAGTATGGGGCCCTATGATTTCTAGTTACACCCTTGATATCAGCTAATGTGACTGTATTGATAGCCGTCATTGCATCAGATAGACTGAGCTTTTTTTTTTCAGCTCCAGGACCACTCGGGAGATGAGATACACATCAGACGCTTTACTGGAGACTCTTGTATAGCTGCATGTAAGATCTGTTACTCTAATTATTTTGTGCCAGTACAGGTTCACTTTAAGAGGTCCTATAAATAAAAGTCAAACTCATTTCACATTTATCACTATATGTACTTTTGTCAAATTTACTTACATCAAATAATGAATAATTAACTGACCTTCTTATGTACTGGGTTTGTTAATGAATGTGTTTCAACAGTGAGCCTGACACTGGAACGTCTGTAAGAAGAAAGTTAAATTCCATGTTAGTTAAAATTACATTTTAGTTTTTAATTTTAGTTTTGCCGTAATTGACACTGAACAACAGGCAGAAAAACACACATCAGTAAATGTAGTTTTTATCAGATCACCCAAACGTCTGGCAGCAGCCAAGGAAGCTTTGCATTATCTACAAAGAATGACTTTGTAGATCGTGCAAGTATACCCCGGCCGCTGCCAAATGCATAGAAGCAGCCGAGTCTGTCTGGCACAGTTTCCAATACTTGCTGCAGCATAACAATATTCTACAAGAAAGGGGACTCAGTTTTTGCAATGCCAGTACATTAAACACTTACATGCATGCGGTGAAAGTGACAGGGTTGCTTCAATGTTGAGAGCCAATTTTACAAGCCAAAACGCTATGCTTCTTTGAACTGAAAGATAGCCCTAGCGACCATTTCCAAACTCTGCATCAGCATGTTGCAGGGAAATGGTCAAATCTTTACAATGCATGCATGCTTGGTTATGCTAGGACACTCAAGTCTGTATTATAAATACATTGACATAGACGTTAACACACCTTAAAAGGAGAATTTCCTGAAATGTCAGCCATATCCAGCTTTTTAAGACATTTCGACGAAGGAATCATGGCCAAAAAGAGGCTAATGATATTCTTCTTGGTTACTCAAAAATAGTTGTCCTGCAGTTTTGAATTTTGTAATAAAACAGGAATGGGATGCTGCATCAAAAATGATAAAATAAAACAATTAAATGCGCTGATCAGCGTTGAAAAATCTAACTCCAAAGAGTCTGCCCAGTTTAGCAAAACTTCTTGGCCTGGTTACATCTGTGAGCATGACTTAATGATGTTAGGGAATTTTCCATTTTCTCCACTCAGACAGACCAGCCATATACACCTTTATCTTACGTGGCTGAAAAAGAAAATCTATATGATGTACACCAGGGGTGCCCATTAGGTAGATCGTAATCTACCAATAGCTCTTAAAGCTGATGCTGGTAGATCACGGGTGTGAATGGCGGCCCCTTTATTCCATTTTGGTATATTTATTTAGCTGTGCACACATGATTACCTATCAGCCTGAGTCTGCTGAGCCAAGCTCCCAGACAACTTTCTGGTGGTTGAAGTGCTATGTATTACATCAAATAATATTAGTTTACACAGCCTATTGCACTGCCATGTTTGCAAAATACAGCAAGGTGAGCCAGGAGAGAGAGGGGAGAGACAGCCAGGAGAGAGAGAGAGGAAAGACAGCCAGGAGAGAGAGAGAGGAAAGACAGCCAGGAGAGAGAGAGAGGAAAGACAGACAGGAGAGCGGGGAGAGACAGACAGGGGAGAGAGCGGGGAGAGACAGACAGGGGAGAGAGCGGGGAGAGACAGACGGGAGAGAGCGGGGAGAGACAGACAGGAGAGAAAACAGATGTAAGCTCCAAAAGATCAGACCATTAGACATATGATTTCCGTATGTATGAAAGCAAGGATAGCCATTTGGAGCCCCTTGGATGTCCATCGTACATGGGAAGCAGTGGAAGAATTATTTGAGACCTATTGGCACCTCTATTCCACCAGGGATACCACCTCTATGTGGACAATTTCTACAGCAGTGTGCCCCACAAAAAGCTGTAAAGGGGGGGGGGGACTTTTAGCCCTCAAAATGGAGAGACAATCGGGATGTTTACATGCTTTCATCATCCACCCAGACACCTCTGTGGAAATCCGAGGAAGATCTGGCCTGTCCCAAAAACATCTGAGTGTCCGCAAATACAAATCTCTATTATGTATGATGTAAATTTCAATGACCAGATAATGCAGCCCTACTTGGCAACCAGAAGATCCATTCACTGGTAGAACACATAAAAACGTTTTAATTTTTTCCATTGGCGATGTAAAATTCATACGTAATTTATAAGTCTGCAGGAAGAGCTGGCTTTTACCTCCAATACTCAGAAGAAATTATTACAGCTCTGATTTACCAGGAAAGCCCCGATCCTGAAAATCTTCAGTCTGATGCAGTCAGCAGGCTGCATGAGAGACACTTCCCCGATAGATTCCTTCCACCCAAAAAGACCAGACATCCCCCAAAAATTATGTTGCATTTGTAGCAAAAAATTAATTAGGCGCGACGCACGGTACCATTATCCATACTGTCCCTCAAAACCTGGCTTCTGCATTAAAGATTGCTTCCTCCTCTACCATACCTCACTGTGATATTAGTGCAGGTACGGTGAAGATGTTTCATAGGTGTTTGAGTAACTGCCAATAGCCTGTGCCTCATCTCCTGTGTACTGACTTCCACATTTCGGTCTGCTGCCCTAATAATTTGCCTGCATACAGACCACGTCTCTGCACGTCTCCTAAACTGCTCCTTACTCGTTTGTCAACCGCGTCTCTGCCTGCCACCTGGACGGATCCTTTGCCTGTATATTGACCATGTCTCTGCCTGCCGCCTGAACCGACCCTTTGCCTACATAATGACGTCTCTCACTGCCGCCTGAACTGACCTTGGCCTGCATACTGACCACGTCTCTGCCTGCTGCCTGAACCGACCTAGGGCTGTTTGTCGACCACATTTCATCCTGTTGCCTGTAGTAACCCATCTGCATGTTCAACTGGCAAAGTTCCAGCCAAAACACCAGTCCCAGCCATCCCCTGAATATATCTGCACTCCTGGAACCACAGGTACTGTTTTGTTTACCTTTGTCCAGCTTCCTGTACTTCCTGGCTGCTGAACATAGCATTGTTTATAATTACTGGGGTTAGCCAAGTACCAGAATGCCTGCTTGGCTTGGGGAATGGGGTAATACCATCCCCCCAAAATGCTCTATACCAAATAGCATGGAACACTTTGAAAGCCTCATGGTGCTCCATGGTATTCACACTCCTCTCTCTGGCTGGGCTACAGAAATGTCTCAAACATGTGGTATCCCCATAATCAGAAGGCATAGCAGAATGTGTGCTGGAGTATAATTGTTGATTATTCTAGCTTTAGTGACCGAATAATCGGGATTTTATTAAAGACAGGAGGCGAATATTTTGCATATCTCTCTTTACTGATTCCTCATAGCAGCAACAGAAATAACCAATAGCAGCAAAACAATGGACGACGCAAAGGGATGGTTCAGCAGGAAATCGGTGATAGGGACAGAAGACAAGGTCCTAGTTCGGCGAGATAGAAAGAGACCCCATCCGGCGTGAAGGACAAAGCACCATGATCAAAAGCCCTGACATCAGAAATGTGATGAAGAGACCAGACGGAGCAAGGTGGTCAACTAGGTCGACAATTGTTTAAAAAACAAGAGTCATTGTCCGGCCAGGCAGGCAAGAAGGTCAAGCCCATCGAGACATCCCAAGATGGGAATAGCGAGGAGTCAGAGGACGAGCAATGCCACAAAGGAGTCGACAGAGTAGAGGGTCCCGGCCAATCGGCAGGCCATCCCCGAAGACGTGGCCTGGCTAAATAGCGGAGTGGAAGAAATAAACAGTATGGTAGGAGGTTGCCCTCTGCAACAGGGCAGACAAGAAATTTAACGCATCAGTCACTGAAGCCGTGAAGGGATCGAGTTGCCTAACCAGACACCAACCTTCACATCTGTTCCAGGCGGCACGGTAGCCACACCGAGTGCCCGGAGCCGAAGACTCTCGGAGCAAGCTGTAAATGGTAAGCCTGACAGATACCAGGAACACCGGAAATCTTCCAGGCCATGAGGGGAAAGGAATCTAAAAGCACCAGCGGGAAGGGACTCCCTACTGAATCCTACAAGAGGAGGGGGCTCCAGGGAAGGAGGAGAGGGTCCACGCACAAAAACTCCAGCAGGGCAGGGAACCAAGGTTGAGCCTACCAGAGCGGTGTGACATGGAGAAGGCTCACCTGCAGTAGGCAGGGAAATGATCGAAAAAGGAAGGGAAGACAAAGCCCCTGATCTGCGGCCAATGTTGAGTGAAGGCATCCGACGCCAGGGAGAAAGATCGGGGAGCCAACTGAAGAAACAAGGTAGCTGGTGATTCCAGCGGGAGGCAAACAGGCACAGTGTGCAGGGGCCACAGGTTGCAAGAAGGAGAGAAAAACACCTCCCTGCACAACATCCAATCGCTGGCATCCCTCCAAAAATGGGAAAGCCAGTCTGCCATGAAATTGTCCAGACCTGTAAGGTATGCGGCAGAGAGGAAAAGGTGACTGTTGAAGCAAAAGTGGAAGGTCCTTCGTGAGAGTGGACAATTCTCAGAACGGGCACACCCACAAATGATTGATGCAGTGGACGTTGTCCATACGCAGAAGAATAGAACAGTTCGAAAAAAACTTCGGGCAGCCAGCTAGAGGGTCCATGTTGATGTGCAAGAAGCATTCCTCCGGTGTCCAGCGCCCGCCTGTAGCCAAATCTGCGCAATATGCGCCCAGGCCCCACAGGCTGGCATCCAATTCCAGTACGAAGTCCGGCTAAGTGCCGATAAATCGCCGTCCCATGCCACCACGTGAGCCCGACACAGACATCGCCTGTCATAGGAACCAGTAGATCGTAAGAGGGCTCGGTAATGAAGAGGCCCCCTGGAAAAAATGGAAGAGGAGAGAAGACCCACGATCCTGGCCAGAGAGCGCAGGGAGACATGAGTCAGATGAAGCACCTTCCGGAGATCCTTCTCGATGTTGGCATTGTGGCAGCGGGAAAGCGGAGTAAGGAGGAGGCCGAGTCGATCTCGAAGCCGAGAAACTGCACATGATGGGGAGGAATGACAGAGGATCTCGGGAAATTGATGATGAAACCCAAATCCTACAACCAGCGAATCACCCAAGAGGTTTGAGCGTGCAGACTGTCCGGGTTGACATTTAAAAGAAGTATATTGTCCAGATAGACGATAGAGCGGAGTCTGTGGGAGCGGAAAAAGGTGATCATGCCAAACTACTGAGCACCAAGGGGCTGAGCTCAGCAGACAGAAGGGAAAAGCAGGTGGACTGCCAAAGATGGAAGAGCCAAGGAAAACGGAGGAAGCGCCTGAGTTAGGGTGT